CCCCCCACTGTGCAGCCTCCCACAGAAGCTTCAAGGCCTTCAAGGCCTTTATTCAACTCGCTTCTCCGCCTCTGCTCACTCGGAGATTTGGGCAGATGCCAACATTAACTAAATAATGGAAAGGTAGCAGGAGGTTTACCTGGCCACACAGGTGGATGTTTGAAAGGTGAACTTCGTGGTCAACACTGAGTGGCAGTGCGCCAGGCTCGGAGCTCGGAGCCTAGCTGCTGTTGCCTGGAGGTGTGAGGCAGTCCTCTGTCACGCCCTGAGAGGCCAGCTCAGACAGAACATTGTCCAAGTAGTTGGGGTCGGGGTAGCCATGGCCCGACAGGTTGGACATCATCTCTGTTTTGTGGTGGATGCCGTTCCACACCACAGTGTCAGGCTCTCCGGTGGTGCTGGATGTACCCACGGTGAAGATGAGTCGCCGCATCCACGCCACCTTCAGTAGCTCCAGCACCTTTTCAACAAAGAGACCAGGAGTGAACGTGAGCTTTATTTACACATAGAGTTCAGAGCTTAAACAACCCATTGATCACCTAACAGAAAATTTATCACCAATCATCCTGATAATTAATTAAACCTCATTTCTAAGAAAAAAAAAAAATCAGACATTCCTTGTCTTCAAGAGTTCACATACAAATTTGCTGCTTTTCTTTGTCTTATGTGACTCAGTACTGCCAGCAGACATACTGTACATATGACTGATTTTACTTATTCAGAAACAGCGTGGATCACAATGCAAATCATATTCACAGTGTGTCAGTGAAAAAGTAGTAGACCTTTTATTTTCTAACATATGGTGAGTGGAAGTGGTTTTGGATTGATCAGACAAAGCTTTAGAACTTTTATCGTTGCATGTTCACTTTGGTCACATACTTGTCGTACAACAACTTGAAGCACCTGTAACTTAACATGGTTAGCTATGAGCTGGTTTACCCAGTCAAAGGAACAACAGTTAATTCCAGTCTTTCTATGCACTGACACGATACCGGTGAAACATTTGTTTACATGCTCAACTAGCGTGAGCCGCTGATTCTCTGGCGACAGAGCTGCTGCAGCTGCCATTAGATGCATCCAGAAATATAACAGCTGACAAACAATTTAGCTAAAATGGGATTATGTAAAAGCAGCTAATCATAGCAGATATGCTCCCTAACTGATGGAAATGAACGATGTTCCCTGAGCACTCTTTCGATTTAACTAGTGAAAAGACTGCTGCACTGTGGGGCAGGCTGTGTCCCCAATCCGGGATGTTTTCATTATATCCAATCCATGTAGAACAGTGAACGTCACACTAGGGAGACTGATGATGGAAGTGAGACCGAGGCGCAGCACAGAACTACATCAGTGATTTACAGACGCTGAAATGTACAGCCGCGGTCGCTAGCAAGCAGGAAGCGAGCTACTAATTCACCATGGAAACAACACAACTTCATAATGAGCACAATATGTTCTTACTCTAAATCAGAGTAACACACTATGATCCTGATGGAGCATTAGGCAGGGTCTTGTGTTATGATGTCACTGATGTGTGTGTACCTGATGTGTCAGCTTGGCCCCTACTATTCATGTGATGAAATAACTAATCGTCTACACCCAGTAAATGTGAGACCCGCTCTATGCTCTGCCATACACTGATGAATCCCTGTGACCTGTCATATTTACGAGTACGAGTCCCATACTGCTATTAATAAACTGTAAAATTACATATTCTGAGTGAGCAGCTTTATACACTCATGACTGAGCTGGCGGTGGAAACAAACAAATCTGCATATCCTTCTGTGATTGGTTTAAACTGTATACAAGTGGCTATAGCGCACATGGATTCAATCCCGCCTGTGAGATAGAACATATGCTGCTGTTTTACCTTCCTGCCCTTGTCGTTGTCTGGAAGAAAACAAAAGCGAGGGAAACCTCTGCAGGTGTACGGCTGTCCTGGATTGGGATGCTCGGGGCCCTGGTGGAGGACAAAACCTGACTGATTAATGGAAAATCACAGTTTAATACTGGAGTGCAGCTGGAACAAAAGAACAATCTAATAACTGTGCTTTTGTAGACCGTTAACAGCAGAGTAACAGCTCGATACAAATTGGATTCAAGTTCTTTTAACTTTAGATCAGTGGTACATATGTCTCTTTAATGCAGTTTATCTTAAAAAAAAAAAAACGTATGCAGCAAGACACAGAAAGACATTAAGGTTTTCCCAAAAGAATGTATTAAAGGAGAGTGTCACTGGGGGAGAATGTTCTTCTGTAACTGAGCCTAAACATCCATCTGTTAAAAATGTACTTGGAAGTCCATGGGAATCAGTGAACAAGTGTCAGTTCACACTGCAGTTTGTCCTCCAGTTGTCTTTAATGTTCAGCTTCCACCTGTTTTCAGAAAAAGACTTTTGAAGATATGAAGTGTTGCTGGGAACATTTTCATGAGACATCATTAGTCTGAGAAGACAGCCCTCAGCCTCAAAGTTTATCTCTCGAAAGTAAAGGCTATATCCATGCCACTTGCCTTCCATTCAAATACTCATCAGTGTGGATGAGTGTTTTTTTGGTCGTTAGTATTTTTGAGACCTTTTTGCTACTCATAAATGAAACTGACACTGGTAATTCTCTGCAACTTGATAAATGATTTGGTCCCATTTCTGCAGTTAAGTAATCTGGGAATGTTTTCGACTTGATTTTCATAAGTTCCGAATTTATTTCCTTTGTGGCAGCAAAACTGAACTCACGCTGTCGGGAACTCCTTAGGTTAAACTGGGCTGACCGTACAACTGTATGGCCGAATAACTCCTAATGGACACATTATAGTGAAACATGCACACCAAGCAGCATTATGGCCAAATATAACCCGTTATGTAACTTTCTGTTTAGTAGTCAGTGCTCTCTGCATTCAAAAATAAGATCTGCTATTTTGTAATTTGTCTAATACTTGAATATAACAGCCCGCTTGTACAAATATCCACTACTCAAATGTCATCATAGGGGCCTTAAACTCTCATTACCTTAGTGCCACTGGCAACACTTATCTCCTAGGGGGGCCACCTGAACAAACACCAATGTTCACTAACTTTCAGCTAAATACCCTCGGAGTCATACTGCTCTGTGCATTTAAGCAGAGCAGAGCAGCTTTCTCTCTGCAGATGAGACAACTCCATGAAAACATAATTTATCATCCACAAACTGAACAAAGACACTAAATCACTGTGCTAAAAAGCTTGCTTTTATGCTTAGATTTTGCTGCTGCGGTAGAAATCATTGCTGTAAAACAAAGTTAAACTGGAGATTAAAAAAATGTGGGCTGGATTTAACAATAAATCTAAATATGTGGAGGGCTTTATGAAATTCTGTCCTGAGTCAGATCTGGCCCCGAGGACCACTATTTGAGCCTGCAGCTGTAATGTGTATTTTCAGGTTTAGACTTTATCTTGCCAGGGCGAGAGCAGTGTGCACAGAGGTACCTGTATGCCAGGTGGTATGCTGTAGATAATCTGAATGGTTCCGCAGTCTGGATGACCTGGCAGCGACTGGGCGATGCTGTAAATTTCCATTTTGCCTTTGGGCTGGGTGCCAGTCTTCTCTCCATAGATTGCCTTACATGAGGGGCACTGCAGGCTGCCGTCCTGAGGAGAGCAGAGCAGGAGAAAGCCTTTTAAATAGGACCACTCAATACAAACCAGGTTAAGTGCTGAGCAAATATGCACTGATCTGCTGATGAGATAGACCTTTCCTTCCATCCCTGTGAGGTATGGATGCTTGTGTATGTATGGCATACAGTATACTCACTTGGTATTAGATTTACTACACTAAATACAAATAACTACAAACATTAGAATACAAGTATTACAAGACGATGTTTAGATGGAGCACACCGATGTTTTTAAGCTCATTTACATGTATTCTTATTTACATGTACTCTAAATTACAAGTGACCATTTTCTCAAGACGACCTAATTGCCTCCTGACTGTACTTCATAACACAGACATGAGACTGGTATCAGTGGGCCACATTCACTAATATCTTTCTAAGTGTTTTCTTAAATGTCTGCAAAGGTCATTCTTAAGAAAGGCCCTAAGAAAAGTCTACATCTGATTCATGAATGTGTTCTTAAACCGCAGAATTAGGTCAAATGGGAAAAATTATAAAATGCTGAAGTGCCAAACTATTCCTTTAGGACAAGTGCATTCAATCATATTAAATGTAACTTCTGTAAAAATAATGTTAAGATCATGTGGTAGATTGTTCATCAAGCAGTGCACACAACAGCATCACATTAACAAAGTAACTCAACAACCTGCCCACATAATAAAGAATTAATAGCTGCCATATGGTCAATAACAGCTCTCTAACCTTTGTCCCGTTGTTGTACATAGCCAGCATGCAGAGCATATGCAGTGTGTGTCCACATTTGATGAATTTTCCCACGGTGTCTGCCAGGATGCTGTGGCCTCCCTCTTCTGAGGAGGGCGTCTCGTAGCCGGATGGATTGGACAGTTGATCCATGCAAATAATGCAGTCCTAAGCAAGACATAGGGAACTTTGTGTTTAGGGTCCTAATCTTTAAATTAAAAAAAAACATTCATTCTTATATTGTAAGGTCAACATGCAACCACATAAGAAATCTACCAAACTGCTGAAATTTCTCTATTTATGTGGAACCTTTCACAACATTCACAAATAGCCCTTAAAACGACCCTTAATGTTCCAGTGCCAAGGGTTTCACAGATAACCCTTTGTTTAGTTTATGTGTAATGTCTGAGATGAAGAAACCCTGATCCTAAAACATTTACCTCATCCGGCACGTCGTCTAATACCTCCATGTAGCGCTGAATCACCTCCTCAGGTTTCGGAGCTGATGCTGAATGAGGAACAAAGAAAACACAAGGTGACGAATGAGCTGAAACAAGCCTAAAATGAAACATCCAACTGCCTGCAACAGCAAAGGCCACACAAAAAGAGGAGACTTTGGTGAGAGAAGATGAAATGGGTTTCTTCACATCATCAAGTAATTCCCTCTCATTTTAGAATTAGATTTCTACACTTTCTGCTTCCGTTAAATACTGTGTCCAGTGTGAGACTAATTAAACACCCTCAAATATCAAGAAAAGGTTAATGTAAACCATGCAAACACAATGTAAATGTATAATGAAACAATGAACCATGAGGAGCATGAGGGTGATCCAGACAATGCACTGCTATATTCTCTCTCTCACTTGCGCACACACACACACACACACACACACACATCTCAATACTGCTTAGGAAACAAATTTCTAAACCTTAACTAAATATTTATTCTCAAGTGTCTTTTGTGTTTATTACACAAGATAGCTCTATTTAGCTCTGGATTATAACGTATTATGAGACTGACTATTTTCTCCCAACTGAGAATTTAAAAAATATATTAAATATATTCATCAATTGGTTTCTCAACATGAATTGTTATGTCTGACATGGCCCCTGTCGAATACAAAAAAAAAAAAAAAAATTCAGGCAGAAATAAGGCAGCAATGAAATGAAGCTAATAATAGGAATGAGCAACAAAGCATGGAAGACCATTTAAATTATCTGAGCCGTACTAAAACTGTTTTTTTTTCTTTTGGCAAATAAAACCTTTAATATACAACAGGTTCAACGGTGAATGATATTTAATATGTCCAAAGGTTGATTTAACCTGGATAGATGCTCAGTGTTTATTTTGTTGATTATTTTGACAGTAATTGGTCTGTAAAACATTAGAAAAACATTTTTCTAGGACCCACGATGTCATCATGTCATCAAGTCTTACTGAAAAATGACTTAGAAGACTGTCAAAATAGCTGCTCACTGACTAATCAATTGATCACTGCAGCTTTACATTGACAGGCTGCAGATCAGTGATGTCTTCTTGTAGAGTAAGTGAATGACCATCCACACAATGACTGGTTGATGTACAACATCAAAAGTTGTTCCACCCTGAGCCTCTGAAACAGCTTCAGTACCTCGAAGCAAAATACTGCCTTATTTCAGCTTCTGGTGGAGAAAAGCCCCCATAGGTGTCCGGCTGGGCTGAGACTTGGCGGCTGTTAAAGCCACAGCACACTGTATGACTCCCATCATCTTCATACTCAGTCCATTCAGTGAGCGCACCTGCCCTGTGCAGAAGTATGCACATTTACAGTTGCAAGATAAAGTAATGGCATGGTTTGCAATTTCCTGCTTTTCTGCATAAATTGGTCATGAAGTGTGATCTGATCTTCACCAAAGTCACAAATATCAGATAAAACAGTCATGATCTTTCTTGTCTTTGTTGAACACACCCATTAAAAATACAAACTGATGGTGGAAAAGGTAATGGCAACAGTGTTGTAATAACTGGTTAAACCACCTTTGGCATCAATAACCTTGTGTTTACTAATATTTGCGACTCTGGTGAAGATCAGATCACATTTCATGACCACTTTATGCAGAAAACTGCAAACAGTGCCATTACTTTTTCTTGCAACTGTATGTGCCTCCACTCCAATATTTAGGCTGTCATCCTCTGAACTTTTAAAGAATTACTGTCATCAAAACATTCAGGTTTTGCTAAACAATCTGAGGCTAAGATTTACACAGGGCAAGGCAGTGTTTGCACTATTCCACATTTTTGTTTTAGACTCCCAGCAACGTTTTTGGTATGGTGGTCAGGGAGAGGCTACAAGGTTTCTGCACCTCGCATCAGCTGGCCAATAACTATGGAGATGCAAGACTTTACGATAGATAAGTGTTTGATATTGACGATAACAACTGGAATCAAACCAGAGGGGAAGCAGCAGAGGGGTCCTGCACAGCTGAACCAGAGCCGTCATACAGAAAGCCTCATCTCCTTATTTGATAGCTCTTTTTACAACCACTGTAAAATAAAAGTGGACTGAACATGGCTCCATAAACACATGAAGACAAATGAAAGTGGGCTGATGTAGGATGAAACATTCCTCAAGCTTGTGGTTATGACCAAAAGACAACAATTGAGAAAAAGAGGTAGAAGAGGGGCTGGTGGTGTGGTAGCTACCTCTCCTGTGCTGTCTCTTTGCTCTTCTAACTGAACTGCTGCTGTTGCTGCTGCTGCTGTGGGGCTTGCTGGGCCTGCTGGCTGAGGGGAGGAGAGGAGGAGGAAGAGAGAAAGGAGCAGGTTGCTGCTGCGGCTGCTGAGAGAGGGGGGCATTGGTGAAGTGCACGCCGAGTCCCACTGCTGACATCAAAATGGAGGCCATGCCTGGAGTAGGGTAGGGTGCGGTGGGGCAGGGCACAGTGGGGCAGGGCACAGTGGGGCAGGTGAGGGTTGAGAGCAAGTGGGAAAGTGCAGGAGCAGAAAGGAAATAAAAAACAAACAAACAAAAAAAAAAAAACACACAAAAAGGTATGAGCAATGTAGCAGCAGCCAATGCCTCCATTCATACACAAAATACTGGAGTCAGATATAGCAACAAGAGCTTTCAAATTCAAAACAAACCAATTTTGTTAACCCATGGCCCTGGTTTGTTTGTTGACTATGAACTACAGTTGTTCCCTTAATTTTTTTTTTCAAATTAACAACTTCAGATCATTTTGCAATCAGCTAACCCTAATCTCATGAGCTAAGTGCAAACTACACTATCTGGAAAACATCCACTGAGAAGTAATGGTCCCCAGACACCGACAATCAGACCAATCAATCAACCAACTATACAGAATGGTTTACACAGACAATAACAATATCCATGAACAGCCTGGCAGCGCAGACTAGGTGCTGCAGATCTAAGATTAGGTGGGATCAATGAAAGCACCACTACTTTCCTTCAGGGGAAAAATAGCACATTCATTCAATTACAAATGAAAAGTTGAATGCGTATATTAAAGCAACAGACAGACTCTTGCTCAGCTCAGTACACTCAGGGGTTTTGGTGCTGCAGCCTTGTCTGGTCTGGTGTTACCAGAGGCTTATGGTGGTTAATGCTAACTAATAAACAAAAACGCAGACAAAAGGTAGTTTGACTGACACTGCTGAATTTATGACTTCTCTTCTTGACCCAGTAATACATACTTTAGCAGTCACCTCTGACAATGACATTCTTCCCAGAATAGTTGTCATATTTTCTAGTTTGAAAATGAGAAGTAAAGCCTTATTACAGTCATTTCTGTGTGTGTTGAATACTAAAAAGGCAAAAGAAACAAAGTGTGTAAAATAAAGCACTGATTACCATTAATGTTCATTATCAACTAATGAGCATAAAAACTTTACATTGGAGAAGACACCCCGGGTGACCTTACATTTTAAATGATTCAGTGAAGTCACGGTACGGTAATTTTCACTAATGAGGTTCTGGTCCCCTAGCTTTTTCCAAAGTCACTGTATTGATTAAGTCAGCTTATCGCAGCCAAGAAACCGAGTTATTGTTCAAGGCGTGTGCAGCAGAAATGCATGCCAAGTTTGCTATTTTAAGACAATTAGTCTACAACTTGCCTGCCTGCTACAGTGGATTCAGAAAGTATTCAGACCTCATCAATTTTTGCACACTTTACTGTGTTGCAGATTTCATTTCATGATCATCAATCTACACTACATAACCCAGAGTGACAAAGAAGCAAAGTTTTTTGAGATCTGATTGAATTTAAACATGGTGACATGACCAAAACAAATCTACTATATTATACACTGCTGAGCTGAATGGAATAAACACATGAAACACATATAATGGGGGGGGGGGCATGATGCTCTGAGTTTCTTTCCCCTCCCCTCCTGCTCTGCTCTCCCCTCCTCTCCTCTCCCTATGCTTCTATATGCCACCATTACACATTACTAACTTTGTGTCTCCTCTCTCCCGTAGTGTGTCCTCTCTCTCTCTCCCTGTAACTTTCTGCAGGTTGCCCTGGAGCTCTATATCTCTGACGAGCAGTCACCGGCCACATCGACCTGATCAGTGTTTGATTGTTGTGTCTTGTTGCTTTTCTTCTTTTGTCTCTCCTCTATCCACTCACCCCAACCGGTCGAGGCAGAAGGCCACCCACAAAGAGCCGGGGCCTGTCGGAGGTTTCTTCCGTTAAAGGGAGTTTTTCCTCCCCACTGTCGCCCAGTGCTTGCTCAAGGGGGATTTGTTGGGTTTTCCCTATGTAATAATATTGATAACAGTAAGGTCTAGACCTTACTTTGTAAAGTGTCCTGAGATGACTTTTGTTGTGATTTGGCACTATACAAATAAAATTTGATTTGATTTGAACACAGGATGAGCCTATAACTGCAGGAAACATGCACAATCTAATGAAAGGAAAATGCTGATATACACATTTGGATGCATTTATCTAGTTTCTTCATGTCTGTTTTTTTTTTCTTTTTTAGGAAATTCAAACAGCAGCTGTCATAATTAACTCCGACAGCCTTATGGAGGTTCATATCCTTTGTCAGAAGGAAAACAAATACAAGATCCGGCCTGCTGTCACTAGCTGCACTGTCACCATACCCATGTTCGGGGAAAATACAGCATGTTCAAAAAAAAAGAAAAACAAAACAAAGTTATCCTTTCATTTGAAACAACTGTAGGAGTGAAATGTTTGTGAATGTAAGAGAAACATCTGCCACACATTTTATTCTTATGCAGCATATTCAGCTTTCTCCAAGTCATGACAACAAGTGCTGGTGGTGAAAATAGCTTGCCGTCTCATTTATCACATACATTTTTTTACACCAATATTGAAATTAACCGACAGAAATCAGAATCATCTGGACTAATAGATTCAATTTATAAGTATGGATTGTATTATACAAATAAATACTTGTACCCATCTGTTATGTTGTTTAACCTTGAGCCATCAATCGGGAAGCAGGGTGGGTGGAGCTCTGGGACAACAATTATTGTTCAGCAGACTAAGCTGAAATCAATCATGCGTTTGCATTCAGGGCCAAATGCTTTCTACAGCATGAGGAAACTGGAGAAACATTTCATATATCGGTCAAAACAAACTGTATCATGTTACTCTTTCTTGTTGAATGGAAGCCTCTGTCTGGTGCTGTACTCTTCTAAGCTCACTTGACATTTAGGGTGTGTTCGTTTTTTATTTTAATCCCCTCTTTCACGCATGGCATTTGTAAACAGACTGACACTCACGAGACAAATGCAGAGTGGCACGTAAACCACCATCACCATGCTGAATAAAACCTGCTACCATCTAAAAGTGTGGTGCAGAACAGACTGAGCAGAGGTGACAGTGAGGATGGATGGGTAGTGACCCGTTTACCTGCCAAAGCAGAGCTCACACTGGTAGATCCATTCAGCTGCACAGAGATAGAAGGAACACTGCAGGACAAGAAACAAGGACAGCAATGTTCAGTCAGTGAAAACAGCAACAATCAGCCAGGGAGAACAAAACAAAAACAGTTTCCAATCCACATCACTGAATTAGAATAAGTACAGTGATATTAGGAATAGCTTCGGCACCAAATCAGTGCTTTATTCTTACTTTTTAAGTCACAGTCTGAACATCGCCAGGCTGTCCAGCAAATGACTAGAAAGGCCTGACACTGATTAGCATTAGCTCAACATTGCCGGCAGATGCATAATGCAACTAGAGAGTGTGACACAACAGCAATTTACTGATGAATATGTGCATAGAAAAGATTTGTGTGCTGTGCAAAACTGCCTTCCAGGAAAAATGAACAAACAGGCCTGAAGTATGAAGGAGCTCTAAAACAAATCCAGTTGAGGGCTTCAACTAGCAATTATTTTCTTTAACAATTAATATATTTAGCCTTTTTTTCAACCAATATTTAGTGACCAAAAAGTTGAAAATGGCCTTCTGGATTTCCCTAAGCCCCGTGGGATAACCTCAAATAGCTTGTTTTATCTGATGAAGAGATTTTATTTATATGAAAGTGAGAAAGCAGCAAATCATCACAACATATAAGATGGAGTCAGCAAATGTTTTGCAATTTATCCTAATAAACAAATGCTTATGAAAATAACCATTTTGTTTTCTGGCATACTCCTCGTCCACTAAGTGTTATAGCAGAAGTCTTGTTCATCTTCCTTTCTCTAAGTCAGGGAACTCTATCCTCTAACCACACAAAAAATGGCACACACACACAAAAATCAACAACAAGTAGTGCCTGGAAAAGAAAGTCTTGAAACATTTTACCCTCATTGATTGCTCATCAGCCAAAGAGGGAGGACATGGTAACACAATAGGAGGAAATGTGTCACTGATAAAATGAGGCCCCACTGACCTTAACCTCCTGTCAAAGGAAGGTGTTGAATGCATGCTTGGTGTCTTAATGCACTACGGGCTGCAACAGCAACCACATTCATGACATGTGACATAGTAACAATCACAAAGCCATGAATGGATTAAGAAAAACAGAAGCAGCTTTTTATATTTTTCACTATTAGCAAGTGTTTATCAGCACTAACATGCAGCAGCAATAGCATGTAGTAGCATTTTTATACATGTTGTGAAATAGCCTAAAAAAATAACACAATGGCATGCCATAATGCTGCTCATCTATTCTTAATTGCAATACCTTCCAAGCTAGCCAGTGAGATATATGAGCAATCACTGCAGAAATGATTTCATAACAGACCATGGTGTGCTAGGCAGAGAACATCCAACATTTTACAATGCTATGATTGATTTCTATTGGTTGAGAACAGACTAAATGAAACCTAAGTGGAAGAAAATAACATCCAGAAAAATACAACATGAGGTGTGTATTTATAATACCACTTTAGTAATTGGTCTTTGAAAGCCGTTTTCTGTGCTGATAGTAGCAAAAAAAAGAAGGCTGAATATGGCACAAACTACAGTCACAGGAACTGAGCCAAACAAACATACCACAGCAGGGCTGCAGCTACTGATACTTTTTGTCATCCCTGCTTTACAGAATAGGTCAAAGTGAAGATGGACAGGAAAGACAAAGAGGAAGGGGAGGGAAGGGTGGAAAGGAACCCACCATGACATGCATCCCCAGACAGCAAACTGAGCCTGAAAACCACATCACACTACACAACAGATATCAGATAACAACCTTAACCCATTTGTGCTGGTAGAACTGGTCAGAAGCGGTGCAGACAGCTGACTACCAGAGGGTGGTGGTGGCCAGGGGCTTCCCCAGGACATTCCCCCGACAGAGAGGGGTCTTCTGGGGTATGGTGAATACACAGAAGTGGGGTGAGCCGCTGCAGCCCTCCCTGTCCCTTGGAGGCTGGGCCTGTTCAGACTCCCTGATGAAAAGGAATGTCGTGAACGGCTGGGCATAGGCCCTGTGCTGCTGTGGCTCAAACACTGCTGGCAAGAGCATGCAGGGCCTGAGGGGATGGCTGGGGGGCCAGAGGAGGCCAATGGGTATGGAAGGTTACATTGGCGCCGCACTTGCCGCCTGAAGCCTGTGGATTTGTTAACCTGGGCCAGAGATGTGAGATCCACTATGTAATTGTATCCATGTGTGCCCAAGTCTGCCGTGCCCTGCCGGGCCTGATAGCTATGCTCCAAAAGGATAGAGGTTCGAGTCTCATATGGAGTCCATCCTCCTTCGTCATTGGCCCATTCCCAGTAAACACCACTGCCCAGGCCTGAGGACTGAGCAAACAGAGATCGACGTACTGACCGAGTCTTTCCTGAAAATAAAATAGAAAATTGTCAGTGATTATACTCAATTAAAGCTACCGCATGCACTACATATTTGTAAGATAAATACATCAGTCTACACTTTCAACCAAAATCCCAAAGTGGGGCCTTAACAGAGAAAACTTCCATTCTCACAGTTAATAACCCTCAGCAAACATAATCCATGCTTTGGTGCAAACTGATCCATCATGGGAGCCAGTTCAGTTACTGGGCCAATGCCGCTGTTTTATGGTTCTGTTTGAATAGCATTTCAGTGTTTGAAAGGGTGCTGCATTCATTAAACGTTCATTGTAACAACTGTTTACAAATTCGGTGAAGCAAAACTATGCTAATGTTACAAGTGCCACCAGATATGTGAGGAGTAATCCATGCCTGCGGTTACGTGAACAAGTTAGATTACATTACAGGCCACAAAGGAATTTAGTGTCGTCCAAATTCATAGCTTCACCCTGTATGTTCCCTGTCTGAGATGCAGCTATGCAAACATAAAAAAAACAGGGCTCCTGTAAGCTAACGTTAAGCTAAAGAGCTTGTGTTATAGTCAGTCGGGCCCGATAAATTTGCAAGGTTTCGTGACACGGCATTAAAATTATTGCGAATGAACGTCAACCTTATGGTATTAATTGCAATAACGTGCGACAAAGACTCACCGGTGTCCTGCCGAAACTGTTTCAAGCTTGGTATGTCAATGAGATAGGGCGACAGGCTGGGGTCTGATTGTCCAAGGCAGATGCTCGTTAAGCCGGGTCCTCCTCCTCTCTGGCCCCGCGGTGACAGACACCGCTCGATGTGGGCGCTCACTTGGCCACTGTAAGGCCGCCAATAGCCAAGATCATCTTGCCATTCCCATACTGCTATCATGGGCTGAGACTGTCCAACGGACCCAGAAGGTGTAGCCGACACAGAGGGCACAGTTCTCGAACCGTTTACCCTGGCACAGGAGCCAGACACAATCGCCATATTCACCAAGCTAGCTTAAGCTAACAACAGCTCGTTTGGTTTGGTTAACTTAGCTTAGCTGTTAGCTGACAGTGGCTACGACGCGAAAAAAATGTCTTGCTAGCTTGGCTCGTTAAAAAATTCCATTGTAAATTTGTTAACAAGCCGTTGAGAAAGCCACGGGATAACGACTAAAATATAGACAGACTAGACAGACATTTAAGTGCATGTTGACAAAGCTACAGTAGCTAACACATTGACAGGTCCTAGCCGTACACAGATAACGTTAGCTTTGCGACAGCTTTGCCAGGCTCCCTTCATCCTCTGCTGATGCCTTCAATGACTATTGGGAAAATCAAGACTCAGCACACATTTGTGAGAACCAACCAGAAATGGGAACTTTTTAAGGCAGTCAAGCGTATAACATAATATGAAAATATTTATTTACATTTAGTATTTAGTCCTTTATTTTACATATAAACAGAGTTTATAAACACCATCTCACTAGTGACCTTCACACACCAATTTATTTCCTCCGTCTTTCCTACAGTGTCTGTGTCTTTGACTGCTATTAAGTATCTTGCATTATCATCCATTTTCAGCGATTTCTCATAGCACAAATCGTGGTGCAATTTGATGATGAAGTCTATTGAATTGGGTGAGGTAGGTAGTGCAGAATTGCTTGTCTGTTCTTACTAATAATACGGTTAATGCACACTTATTTCCCCCATTTAGCACAAATGTTTAAAACAAAATTATCCTGTTCCACTACTGCTTTTCTCGCTAAAAGCTTTTAGTGTACACAGTACCCCACTTCTAAATCAGTGACTTTCACGATGCACCTGAAGGTTGCTAAATCCTAGTCCTGCCTCCCGGACAATAAACTGTAAACTTCTTCTTATTCTTCTTCATTCATTTTAATGGCGAATTGCAACCGGGAATAGCATTATCGCCACCAACTGTTGTGTCACAATCGCATGCAATCAGTCCTGCATCTTGAAGATGGATGAGTACATGTTTTATAAGAGAATTTCGATACTGTGTGAGCAGATTATTTTAAGGTTTTATTCCCTTATGTTTCAGCTTATTTCACAATATTTGTAGACTGGTTCATAGGATTGCTTGCATCAGTGTCTATCTGGATGTTTTCCAACAAAAAGTTCAAGTTTAATTTAGTGTGTCCCGGTCTAGTCCTATTAACCAGTTTTCTCCTGTTTTTCCAATGGGTGTATTAAGGAAAAGCTTCATGGATTTTCCTCAGTCATTGTTCCACTCCTACTTCCAGTTGAAACCTTCAGCTGAGAAACATAAATTGCACAACTTGCAATTCACGTGACCCTGCAAACTTTACCTCTGCTTGATTAAGGCAACTTCCTCCTCTCTTTTCTCTGTCTTTATTTGAACAAGATTAGATCATCCTTAGCAGTATTGCTGCCCTCAACTGGAGATGACTAGCTATGGCACAAATAACAATCCATCTAAAATCTTACCCATCATCTACATACAGGTAGAATGTGGAAGGTGGAGACTACATTCTTTGAAACTTTCTTGGGATAAACTGATAAACCAGGACAACACAACTGATAAACTGCTTTCTGATCTGTATGCTATGGCCTGGTAGAACACCAAATTTAAACAATCTAATGTTCAATAAATCCACATAAAGGATAATAGAATTGGCCAGGTCTTACACGGTTTTGAACATGGTTTAAACCAGTGCCCAAATGGGACTTGCACATTCAGTTTAACCCATGAAGTGACACATAATCATTAGCTATATCTGTACCAAGTTGTCTCAAAATGTCAAATGTAAGTCCATAAAAAAATATCATCTGATGTTGCAGCGTAGAGCTACCATTGTTCATTTCTGCCTTTGTGAGATATGCTAACCAAAGCACAATATTTTCACAAATAAACAATAAAAATGACAAATAGATGCAAGCAGCCCTTACTTGATTCCAAGTCTGAGTCAAATGATTTACCAGTGATAATGTGGCCTTGATTAATTGTTTCACAAGACCCTCTTTTACAGATGTGAAAGGCCCGCAGTTAAAACAATATCTGACAAAATGCCATAGGAAAAACTGAAAGGTTGTCCCGGCCATTCTGTCCAGCATAAATGTCACATGTGAGTGAGTGACCCCTGTAAACAAGACAGACTGATATGCATCACTCTCTCTTTTGTATGTTCACACTATCAATTTGTTGTATGTTTCATAGACAAACAGCAGCAAACACTGAAATTATTTGATGCAAGATGATGTAGGCAGGATTTAAGTGTCGGTTCAGCCAAACTACAAAATAAAAATAAATTTATTAGAGCCAAATAAGAAAAATGTGTTGTGAAATACTGTATGTACCTCAGAGTTCTACCTTCACTACAATACAATGGATGTGACGTTTATGTGTGGTGCTCTCAGCTTTGAAAAATAGCATTTAAAATATTCATCACCAACAAAAACACTGTCCCTGTAATAATCCACAAACCTCACGCTCAGTTTCAGAGGGACTATTTTCTCATTAAACAATGTGTGCTCTACTGTAGCTGTGAGTCACACATCTTAAAACTAAACTACTAGGCAGTGAATGCTGAAGCCGAAATAGCAGTGAGATATATGCACTGTAAATCATCTGAATCGGGAAACAAAGGCTACTGTATTCTGTACTGCAGAATAAGCAACAAATACAAATGTTTATGCTCCAACACACACAATATAAACGAGAAGCACAAATCTCCAGACATATACTGGATGTGATCAGTTGTTTATAGTTGGTTAGTAGTGTCACCTCACTTAATACATTTCATATATGCTGTCCGTGCTGACATACAGCCTGTAATACTGACATGTTGTAATTAATGGCACAATGACACAGTTCACACCATGGAACATTTGAAAAATGTTATCTTTGATAAGAAAGGTAGATGACACAGATGTCTGCGACAATGAAGTTGTACTCGAGTATAATATGTACTTGAGTAGCTACCTTGAATAATACTGTGCATCAGTAGGTATATTTGTTACAAACAATCAACAAATAGGCTATTGGGTGTGCAATATTGTATTTACAGGCATTTGCATCTCATGATGTGTGTATGTGTGTGTTTAATATTGACTGTGAGAATTGACTGAATTGATGTGACTCTATGGACATTGCTCAGGATTTGTTCTTTGTATGAATTTTACTTTGTCCATCTCTGCCCTGAAAGTGTTCAGCAGTGTTAGAAGTAAGGATATGATGAACACAGGAAGCAGAATTTGAGGAGTGCTAGGAGCTCTGCTGATTTTTACACCTGTGCACATCTGGCAGCTGCTGGCACGTCAACTTTGGGAAAAAAAAGGTGATTCCAGTTTCCTTGTGTGTCTGACATGAACTTTTCAAGGCTTTCAGAGTGGGCACATGACATGCCTGAAAGGGCATGTACTGGACTGAAGATTTGCCTGTCTTATATATAGCAGTACATTTGTGGGTGTTGAGGATGGAGAGACCTGAGAAATGCCTGATACACTATATGAGAACTTATAGTTATTAGGAGGAAAGCTCTTTCATTGTTATCTGCAGCAGCTGCTATGTCATTTTTCCAGCCATGATGTCATCAGTCATCAAGGCAGACTCTCTTGTTTCCTTTGTTTAAGATATTGATACAATATCACCCTTCATTCACATCAGCCCACTTCTCCCTTGCTTTACAGGCTGCTCATGTGAAACCCCTTTATTATGCAACCAGTCAACAGGGGCTCCTGGTTAAGTAACCTTAAGCTTTCTGTGCCTCACTGTGGCAACATATTGACCCAAAGGTGTGTATCATCACAAATTTGCAGGAGCCACATGACTGCCTAATACATTTTTCATAAGACATGGCTCTTCTGACACACAATCAATCCACGTTGAACCCACTCATACAACGCTGCTGTCACATTTCAATCTCTTGACATTGCTAGTAGAGATTCCCTTCTGCATTGTAACTACACACACTTCACTGCCAAACTGGTCATTACACAGCACTAGATTACATTCATATCACATACACCTGAATTTCTTTTTCTTACTATCTCGCTCAGCCACATGTGCCAGTTTTCTGTTTCTGTCTCTGCTTCCTCAGGGACTTTGTGAAATTACTTTTATATGTCAATTTCAGTAAACCATGTTTTCATTTCTTATAGAGAAACATGGTCACCAAGTGGGTGGCATCCAACCCACAAGTCAGGAGATGGGGTCATGGAGGAGAGTTGTATTGACTTATCCAGACAGATAACCAAATTCAGTCTGACCCATGTGACCTGGTCTGCCTGGTGGGAAAATATTTGCTCTTATCCAACATTTCCTGAATAAAATGAAAGGCATTGGAATAACTTCAAATTTTCAACACCACTATTGGAAATCTGGCACTGTCCTATGTGTAGGGAGTTTGTGGTCAGGGCCCTTGCACTCTGAATACTGTCATTTATGTTAATGAGCCTCTCTGCATTAAAATAAAACCTTTCATGGACCAGGCTTACAAGGTAAAATGTTCCAGCTGTGGAAAAATAATGAAATACCTCTGTTGGGAAATCGGGTCCCAGTGCAGCAGGAAGGGCCTCCATTATCCAGTGGCTCCTTGCCCACAATGGGATTATCATTTTCAATAAACCGTGCTCTCCCTCAGCTATGCAGATTCAGTCAGTGGAGTTACTGCTTGGATCAGTACCTGTGAGCACTTGTGCTAGCCCATTAGCAGTGGAACATGCTGGTTCCCAGGGTTAAATATACATTACACAGTCTACTTCAAGTTTGATCTGCAGATGTCTAAAGCCAGCCAAAATGTAACAGAGCCCAAAAGACTGGACTGCATATTTGTATTTCACTGTATAAACGTAGGCCCCAGAATGAGTGGTAACTGTATAAATATGTCTTTCAGGCTGATAACTGTCGGGGCCCACTAAATAGATATTGCCTTCTTCATCTGACCTTCAAGGAAATTTGACGCCTCTTAGGAAATATCTGAGTGCCTGATGTGCCACCTTGCCAACAGATGTTGTCAGCGTCATCTATCAAAATAAGACTGAAATCCAGCTAGTGCTGTAGGTACCCAACATGATGTCATCCTCAAGCACCTCCAGAGGAGCCATCTTTGGTCCTTGTTTGACAGACTAGCCTGGGCTGTGGCACACAGTGATGGAGACTCTTAAAGGTGAAACAGAAGCAGTGTTCAAGCAGTGCTGGTAGTACCCATCCCTCAGTTTTTACAGCCTCTTTGACAGAAACTTGGTAAGACTCTACTGGCTGCCATACATTAAAAGCTTACCTCCTCACAGGAATAATCCTTTGAGTGTCACCATGGTATAAGCTTGACAACAGTGGATTTGTGACAATATTGAATGGGCCTTG